GATCCCACATACAGACCGGTTCCCGCTCACTGGCTGAGCGAGGTGCGGGCGCAGCACCGAAGTTTGCGATCCCGTTGCTGGTCCCGGTCCGGTGCCGGTGCGACACTGAGGGTTGCGATCCGTTGCCGGACACGAAAAAAAAAAAAAGAAAATGAAATACTTATGCATAAATCAAAAAAACATACAGGACTTTGATGCTGAAAACTGCAGAATGTCAATGGAAGAACTCACAGGCCTAAATAGATGGAGAGACATACCATATTCATTGACTGTAATACTCAACATAGCAAATATGTCAATTCCCCCCAAATCAGTCTAAAGACTTAATGCAATTTCTTTCAAACCAAGACCCTTTTCTCCCCTGCAGCTTCCAAGCAACTTCATACAAATGGCACAGCTGTGGCTTTTGCCAGCTCCTGCTCTGTGTGCTCATTGGCTCCAGCCCTGAAGTGTCCAGGATTGAAACAGTGGAAGCAGTCCTTTCTTTTGTCATCATGGCTTCTCCCACCTTCATGAACTCCGTAGGTCTCTCCTCCTCTTCCCCTGGGCTCTAGCAGCCCCAGCTTGGCAGTCATTTCTTTTTAATAGTTGTAAATTGGTTGATTGTGGGAGAGGGTAACACTGGGTACTATCTATTCTGACATCTTGATCGTAAGTCCCTAAACTTTCCTTTTGAATTCTTTACTGAGTCAAGCTCAGTTATAACTTAGGATTGTCTTTAGACAGGTATTCAAAAACACAGAAAACTTTAGAACTACCGTGTATGTATGATTGGTAATGGCACTTTTGCCAAATCATTAGAAGGATTAAAGTAAAAGAGATATACACAAATTTGTAAATTATGTGATTATAAGACTTAAGGTAATTAAAAACAAAATCACGCACACACACACACGAAATTTTTCCTTGACCTCACAAATACAGAAAATGGATCAAACTAACAGACTAGACAAAGTGTGGCTCCACTGTAGTTGAAAATGCCTCTCCTTCACCATCTTTCCCCTTCTAACTGCTGACCCCAGTGCCCCCCCACCTTGCTGTTCCTGCTCAGATTGGGGTCCTTTGTCTCTCCTTGTCCTAGAACTGTTTCCCACGTGGTATCCCAAGGCTTCCCCTCCCTCTCCATTAGCCAATCCCCTCCCTGGGCTAGCTCTGCTTATGTTACTCCTGCCCCCAAACAAAAGCCTGAGAAGGCTCCCCGCCAATCACAGAGAAAGGCACTGGCTGCTTCACTTAGGGGGACCTTAACACCTGGCAGTGCCCCTCTCTTCCCCTACTTGTTATAGGCTCCAGTCCATCTGGAATCTTCCAGATGTCAGCTGAGGCCTATTTGTTGCTGGGTTATGGGATTGCAAAGAAATTTGGGAGTTTTAGATAGCAACTGGGGTTTGAGAATGAAAAAGGAATGTGAACAGCACTGGGAGCTCATGGGAGGTAACTAGGAGGCTAGACATTCTATAAGCAAAACCTAGTCCCTTAGTGGTGGTGAGTGGTTTTGGTGGGACTTAGGGATGGGGCTGAGTTTATATCTGGATCACCGCATCTCACATGGCATCAACAGGATCTGTTCAGGAATTCAAGCAGCAAGAGAATCAGAGGGGAGAAGCAGAGGATGGAGAAGCCCCTGTAAACTTCCAGACACTCAGGGGTGGGGACACCTGTCCCAGCTGCTATTAGCTCCCTGAAGCCAGGAGTGTGCCCTCTGCCATGGGTCTGCTGTAACTAGTACAGGAGAGTAACAGCTCCATCTCCTCTTCCACACTCCAGGCCTCAAGCAAGCATCTCCCACAGGCAGACTCTTACCTGGCACCACGTGGAAAACAGTTCCAGGCCAAGGAGAGTGAAGAGGAGATGGCGAAGATGCCGAGGTGACATCCAGCCCATGTACAGGTGCAGGGAGATGGCCCCCAAGTGAATGAGTAAAGCACAGAGGGGTCTGGAGCGCACTGACACTGGAGACAGCACCCACACCCTGCTTTGGGAACTTGCAGAAATTTGCACAGGACATGGAGTGAGAGTTTGAGCTCATCTAGACCTATGGGCAGGGAGACTGCAGTTAGGGATGCTAAATCACAGTGAATTTGCTAATGAGTCTTCCTTCAGCTTTGGAGTTGCATGCTTTTACCCACATTTCCAGCTGATGAGCTTTCTTAATATCTGAAATGGTACAATAAGCAATACTTAAAACATTTTATTTTTAATTAACATGTAATAATTACACATATTTATGGGGTATAGTGTGATATTTCAACACACATATACAACGTGTAATGATCAAATCAGGGTAATTAGCATACCATCACCTCAAATATTTATCATTTCTTTGTGTTGGTAACATTAAAATCCTCTTGTAGCTATTTGAAAATAAACAATAAACTGTTGGTAACTAGTCACTCTACAGTGCTATAGAACACCAGAACCTATTCTTCCTATCTAGCTGTAATTTTTAAATAGGAAATGCAAAGCTACAAACATTTTAGAAGATAACATGGTAGAAAATATTTATCATTTTTTTATATGTCTATTTGAATTTTTTTTTTTTTTAATTTTTATTTTGTCAATATACAATGTATATGATTATTATGGCCCTTCACCGACACCTCCCGCCCTCCTCCCTCTCTCCCCTCCCCCCCAAGCTACTATACTTTTTTTTGAAGTTGTTACAACAAGCAAACGGAAAGGACATTCTAGCTGTAATTTTGTATCCACTAACCACCTTCTACTGTCCCCCCATTCTCCCGACCCTTCCCAGCTTCTAGTAACCACTATTCTGCTCGCTACATATACATGATCAACTCATTTAGCTTCTATGTGAGAACATGTGCTATTTATCTTTCTGAGCCTGGCTTATCTCACTTAATGTAATGCCCTTCAGGCTCATCTATGTTGCCATGAATGACATTCTTTTCTATGACTTAGCAGTATTCTACTATGTATATATACCACGTTTCTTTATCCATCCATCTGTTGATGGACACAGGTTGTTTCCATATCTTGGCTATTTACTTAAAATATCCTTGATAGGTGAAAGATATGCAAAAAAATGAACACAGAACAAATGAGACACAGCACCACTAACTAGCTCCCAACCTCTGTCTCTATGTTAAGTTCTATTGATGTGACTTTCAGAACATGATCAAGCATGTCTGGGTTCTTAAAGCACATGGTCGATAGCTTCCCAAGGCAGGGTACCTGAATATGAGACTAGAGATGGATCCAGTAATGACACAGAAAAGGCAACACACTTTACACCTATGTATTGGAGTAAAAGCACTTACAGATTTTATTGAATTTAGTATAAAATTCTTATTTTAAAATTCCAATTTCATGTTATAATGTAGTACACAAAATAAGGAAAAATATTTTTAGCTAAAAAAAAAAATTAAGATGGTAGTTATAAATAACATGACCAAGAAAGCAACACACAGACTAATTCAGTTAATCAAATTCCAAGAAATTACACAAAGGCCCTTTGTTTTTCCAAAGATGCACAGAGAAAGGAAGTTAACTTGCCTGCTTTTCTAACATCATCATAAACTCAGCATGGTGCAAAGTCCTCTTAACTTACTTTGAATCATTGCCTCCTCGTAAGAGTCTACTGGACCAGTAAGGCAGAAGGTAACAGACCAGGTCCAGGGTGGGAATGTAGGAAGTGTGGTATCGGAGCCCAGCCTGGTTACGGTTGTGATGTGGGGTGGTGCAGCTTTGGGCAGCCACCTCTCGTAAGAGTCTACTGGACCAGTAAGGCAGAAGGTAACAGACGAGGTCCAGGGTGGGAATGTAGGAAGTGTGGTCTCGGAGCCCAGCCTGGTTACGGTTGTGATGTGGGGTGGTGCAGCTTTGGGCAGCCACCTCTCTCTCTGAGCCTCCGGGGTCTCAGCAGTAGAATGAAGGGCAAGACCAGACACCATCAAAGGGAGCTTCCTGCACTAACATTTTATGCAGCTGCCTGATAAACAGGATCTCCTTGCCTGAAGGTCCTGCTCTTTGTAAGCAGCCCCTACTCCCCATCTGAGCCTCACTTTTATTCAAGGTCGTCAGAATAGAGCAAGAAGATTGTCAACAGGCAAGCCCATCCTTACCCGCAGGCAAGAGTTAAGGATGTGGTTTTACAGGCTTTTATTAAAATGGACTTTTCTGCAGCTTGTGACTGTAGTAAGAAGCAACTGATATATTTCAGAGGAGGAGGAACCTGGGCAGTACTTGGAAGCAGGAAAAGATGTCACTTAGGAACCTCTGTAAACTCATATGGGTATCTGCAGGGTGCCCATAAGTGCTGAAAAGCTGCCAGCCCAGACACATCCTCCAGATAAGAAGCAACTGATATATTTCAGAGGAGGAGGAACCTGGGCAGTACTTGGAAGCAGGAAAAGATGTCACTTAGGAACCTCTGTAAACTCGTATGGGTATCTGCAGGGTGCCCATAAGTGCTGAAAAGCTGCCAGCCCAGACACATCCTCCAGAGCAGCCATTTCTCTGACCTCACCTCTGCTTCCCTCCACTGCTGACTGAAATTTGCAACACTAGTGATGTAAAGGTGATCAGATCTTTTCCCCTCCTCCCACACAGTGAGGCATTTCCCACAAAATTTTGTCAGTACAAGAAAGGGGAAACCCAGAAAAGGGGCCCCCAACCCTATATGGGGGAAGGCAACAAAGTCTTCTTGGTTTGGACTTCCTCAGAATCAACACAAATCCATTCCTCTGGCGATTCCTGCCTCAGCTCCACATGCTCTGGCTTCTACTCCAAATCCTGTCTCCCACTCTGGCCCTTTGCACACTGGTCATCAGGCTGAGAGATGAGAGACACCGTCCTCCTTGCTTCCTCTGGGATATCACAAAACTCTCTGAGCTGGGACATGCCCCTCATCATAAGCTGTGGAGTTGGCTGGTTTCTAGACAAGGGGTGAGAATGGCTTTACTCAAGTAAGATTAGGCAGCACAGCGGGGAAGTTCTGTAGGGTTTAAACCTGCAGTCTCCTCTGGCCAAGGAAGGCCTGGCATCTATGCCTCAGAGTTGCCAACAAGTCCTCACCTTTATGACACTCAAGGGAGGAGGACAGATGTCAGTGTCCATTGGGGAAAAAATGATAATCTGAGTGTATGTGTGCGTGTAATTGTACAATGACAGGTTTCTTCCTGTGTAAGTAGAAAGGATGGACACAGATAGTTACTAGGAAGTTAGAAGCCATACTGCAACATTGCTCGTGCTCACAGCATCTGCCTCTCCTCCAGTCATGGGCACGTGATGGGGGGCAATGTGACTACTTCTGGCCAACGGGATCTAACCAGAAGTGGTCTGTCCCACTTCTGGGCCAAAACTCTTAAAAAGGCAGATGCGTTTCTCCAGCTCTTCCCTTGCCCTGGCTCTGAGGAGGCTGATGTTCTGGATGGGGAGCCAATCCCTCAAGATTTTTCAAGAGCCTATAAACAGCTGGAATTGACTTCCCTGATGACCTTAGCATGCCTGCTCAAGGGCGCCTGCCCACAGCCTCCTCTTTGCTCCCTGCCAGCTCATCTGGAGGCCCTAAAATGCTGTTCCCAGACCATCTGCAGTCTTTTATTCCATCCTTTCTTTCAAAGCCTGGTATGTGCTTTTGTTGACAACATTCTAATGACTGTTCTCCCTCATGAGTTGATTTATGTGCAAATGACTAAATAAATATCTCTTGTCATTCTTTATTCAGGTAAAAGCATACAAGCAATCATAAATTATTGAGAGTGAAGACAGCCATAGTTACCTGAACATTGAGTTCTTTAACTCTTGATTCAAATGGAATTTTCATAATCTACCCCTGAAATTTTTTATTTTTAAGAAGAAAAACTATTTAAGTGTGAAGGGAAGCACATCTTGCCTGTGCTTCCCATCCAGGAGCAAGGCCTTGGAGCAGGCACACAGATGGAATATGCAGAGAACCATTCTGCCTCCAGGTGCGTGCCTTCTAAATGCAAGACCCTCTGCAGAAGCAAATGCCACAGGGGTTTTTGCCAAAAGCTTAATGGAAACATTTCTATTTGCTTTAATTTTTATTTTGGAGTTAAACAAGACAATTCAGGATGTGGAAGTAATGTAAAATCAATGGATGAAGATTGTGCAGCTCCTACCAGCTTATGGTCCCACTGGCCTTCCAGGAAGCATGGCACAGGTCAGACTCTGGACAGTAGGGAGCTTTCTTCCTCTTGTATTGGAAACTTGAAGCTGGAGATACCTTTATATGAATATCTTTCATCACCATCTAGTGCAGAAACCCCTGATACAGACATACATTCTCTACATCTTGGGTGGAAACAGACTGCTTTATTTTTAAATACAATTTCTATAAATTTTTTGGTAGTGGAAATTTCATGTTTTATCTATTTACAGCAGACTTGATATATTAGTCTCTTTGGGCTGCCATAACAAAATACCACAAACTAGGTAGCTTAAACAACAGAAATTTATTTCTCGGTTCTGGAGGCTAGAAGTCCAAAATCAAGGTGCCAGCCAATTCGTTTCCTGGTGAGGGCTCTCTTCCTGGCTTGCAGACAGCTGTCTTCTGTGTCCTTACATTGTAGAGAGAGAAAAAAAAATCTCTCTCTTCCTCTTCTTATAAGGCCACCAATTCTACTGAATTAGTGCCCCACCCTCATGATCTCATTTAACCTTAATTACTTCCTAAAAGTTCTATCTCCGATACAAGTATGTTGGGGTTAGGGCTTCAACACATAATCTTGGGAGGACACAATTCAGTCCACAGTACTTCACGCTGGGCAATGAGCACTTCATGCTCTTTACTCGTGTATACATCTCCTTCTCCTGTTTAAGGCGATCACACCATGAGAGGGCACTGTCACAGGAAGTACAAACATTTTAGACAGTACAACTGTGACATCTTAGGAAATGCTAAAAGCTCTTTTGTTGCCATGAAAGTAAAACTTTGACACAGCTTCGTTTAAAACTTTGCATTTTTGAGAATAGTCCACCTGAACCACTATAGTTCAAAGACTTTAAAAAGCCAGTATCCACCCCAGCCCCCACTGCTCTAATCTCTGAAGTCCAAAACTAAAGTAATCATTAAGTTTTGAAAACAAAACAAAAAACTTTATTTACAAAGGTAAATTTTAACTCATTTTTATATATCATATAATGTTAATGTTGACAGCAACAGATTCTCTGAAATATTTAAAACACATAAATTTTAAAATACATCTAGGTTTAGGCAGTTCATTTCCCCCTAGTTATATTATAAAAGTTATCAATGTTTCTTTAGCTTTAATGTTTGGTCATATTTTTGCGCAGAAGACATTTTTCACGGTGAGTTTACCAAAAGACATGGTCACATAACCATCGGCTGTGGATTTCCAAGAAGCAAAGGAGCCAATCTTAGCAAAGCTCGCACTGGCATTTTCAGCTGTTTAAATTTGAAGAGAAGTTCAGCAAAGCTTGTGCTCCCTAAAGAAATGAAAATGGGTGGAAAAGGTCACATCTCTAAATAAATTCAGCCATACTTTCCTTTCAAGGAAGCTTCAGAGTCACAATTATGCTTAAAGCAGTCATTCTACCCTTTGAAAACAATTACCTGAAGAGAATATTTAAATTATGAATTTCCTTAATGTATTCTAATACATGATCTGATATAAAAATTTAAACATCCGTTCTGTACTTCAGGAAGTGATCTATAATTTTTGTGAAACTATTAATATTGCTTAACTATATATATTATTAAAATATAATTAGCAAATGTGCCATCTACCTTCAGTTACTATTGAAGTGATTTTTTTACTGGTTCTAATACTTTAATTCCTAATCCATGCACTCAATACTTTACCTAAAAAAAGAACATAGGCTGAAAGTAAGTAACAGAGAGGTTTGATGTCTCTTCCTCTAAGAAGCAAAGATACTCAACCTTGGTCCCACAGAGATTCTGCAGTAATTCATCTGGAGTGTGGCCTGGGAATCTGGAGTTTTGAAAGCTTCCCAGACGATTATGATGTGCATCCAAGGTCAAGAACCACACCACCAATGGGAAGTGGGAAGTGAATTACCTAAAATGCTATTAAGCACCATCATCCTTTTCGCCTCCATCCCACCACACACAACTGTCCAAAACTCCCCTCCACCCCAAAATATACACACATATGACTCCTATGACTCTCCAAGCCACAGCAAGCATCCTAGAAGACATGCAGGCAGCAGAGGGGTACAAGTGGTTCATAGGATCCCATGAAGATGAGCAGAGAAGAGTCTCATGACATGGTAGAGTGGTTTTCTAACACAAGAATGAGTTCTACTGGTACACAGAGTATAGGGAGGGCAACAACTTCTCCTATTTTGTGTTGGGCTCTGCCAGTTAGCTGTGAATAAGTTGTGTTTAATAAACCTCAACAGGAATTAAGACAAATTTCCTCCTATTTGTTACTCCATAGTGTTCCCCAAACCTTGCTTAACCCCAAGCACAAAGAATAAATACATTCAAGGAGGCATAAAAACAATTCCAATATTCTGATGAACTGCAGAATCTAAGAGACCATTCTGTACTCAACGTGATTATTGATGCGGTTAGTTTAAATCTATCATCTTGCTCGTTGTTTTCTATTTGTTCCGTCTGCTCTTTGTTCCCACTTTTCCTCTTTTTCTGCCTCTTTTGGAATGAGTATTTTGTATAATACCATTATAGCTCCTCTGTTGACTTGTTAGCTATAATTCTGTTTTCTTATTTTAGTGATTACTTCATAATTTACGGTGTACTACTTTATCACAGATTATCTTCAAGTGAGATTATACTACTTCACATACAGCATCAAAGCCTTACAACAGTACTTCCACTGCTTCCCTCTTAGCCTTTCAGCTACTGCTGTCATGTGTTTTACATTACATATGTTACAAATCTCATAGTACACTGTCTGTGTAAAAGAT